TCGATTCGGATGAGTGGGGGTAGTTGACTCGGATGAGGTCGCAGTCGTATCAGGCCGTGCGGTGGTGGTGGTTTTGACTATACAGTTGATGTCGTCGACAGCTCTAACGATTCCGTCCGAAACGTTTTGGGCAGACGAGTTTGTGAGCTGTACGGAGTAGTCACCTTGGCTGGGGTCCCACTTGTTAGAGCGGAAGAAATTATCCCACCACTGGCAAACCGTGCCCGATGTGCACAACACCACCGTATGGATATTGTTCTCCTGGAGTCCGTCCAGTATGGTGTGGGGCTTGAAGTATTGGTACTGTGTGTCGCACGGGGTGTCCGCGGTATCCGTCCATACGTTGTTTCCTTCCAGAGCAGGGTTGGTGGGGTGGACGTCGATGGTGGTCTGGGAGTCGTCGGAGTCGTCCGGATCTTTTGTTTCGTGGTATTTCCCGTAGTCGTCCGTCACAATGATGAGGATCTTGAGCTCATCCGCCGTGTAGGGTACAAATTGCCTATTCACGAGCTCTGGGAGGATGGACAGAGAGTCCTCCGGTCCATCGTCCCCCTCACTCGGCTTTTGAGGCCGGTCCCAAGCATCCGAAATGTCACTCAGCTTAGGATCCCACCAGCCATCACCGAATTCATGTGGTATGGCATAAATTGACGTGCACTGGTCTAGGCGGTCCATAAAGGTGCTGAAGCCATAATCGAAATCCTTAATATTGTTTCTCAGCACGTCCGCCCACTGCAAATACACTTCACGGTTTGCTCCAATGTCCGCAAACCCTGACTCTCTCCACCCCTGATGGACCCACAATCTCACAGGCACTCCCAAACACTCATACTCGTACCCAGCCGCAAGAGCCAATATCGTCGCCAACCTAAAATTCATCACTGAAGCAAGTAACACATTATTTCTGCATGCACACACATCGTATCGTGTTCCTTCATAAACGTACCAGCCAGAGGTACCACTCCCGTCCGGAAGGTGTATACACGGACAAGACTCCGTAAAGACGGGGCAGTGGTTGTCGTGGGTCTAGCAGAGTCCGGGTATCAGAGTCCCCTTTGATACAAATATAGGAACCGTGTGAATTAGGACGGTAGGGATGTACAAGACGTGTGTATGAGACTTGTGCAGCACGTTCACGGATGGCATAGTGTAGTGGTCTGCATGAACCGAACCGCTCAGGCACAGCATGTAGAAAAAGAGATCTACGCAAATTGGTGTTCGTCAACACCGACCACTGCCTCTCGTTGGACGTCCTGGCCATCGCCTCCAGTCCCCTCTTCCTCCTCAACCTCCAAAGCTTCAGGCTCGCCCCGCATCTGTCGGAATGCCCCAACGCCACCTAGCAGGAGCGCCAGGGCGCCAGCCGAGGCGCTGCCGATCACCACTGCCTTATTATTTTTGCCGGGAGCTGTAGTGGCTGTGGTGGCTGAAGTGACTGTGGTGGCTGTAGTGACTGTGGTGGCTGTAGTGACTGTGGTGGCTGTAGTGACTGTGGTGGCTGTAGTGACTGTGGTGGCTGTAGTGACTGTGGTGGTTGTATCGGGGAGGCTCGTCGTGGAAATGACGCCGTTCATTATGCAATTGATATGGTCCACGGCTGCTACGATTCCGTTGGAAATATCTCGGGCCGTGGGATCAACCAGACTAGCTAGGAAACGGGCTTGGTCTGCACTCCACCCATTTTCCTCAAAGAACGCTTCCCACCACCCGCAAGCCTCGTTCGCCGTGCATAGCACTACCATGTGGAGGAGATGCTCTTTCAGCGCGGGCAAAAATTCAGACGGTATCAGATATTGAGTATCGACGTCGCAAACGTCGTCCTTCCATATGTCGGCGACTGTGTTGGGTCCCTCCAGAGCAGAGTTAGTGGGATGGTCAGACTCCATTCCGTGATATTTTCCGTAGTCGTCTGTCACAATGATGATGATCGTCTGCTCATTCGTGACATAAGGCTCAATATGATGTTTATAGATACCCGGAATAGCGGTCAAAGAATCCTCGGGTCCATCGTCATCCGCATTGGGTGTCTGTGATCTCTTCATGCCTTCAACAACCGGTGCCTTGTTTTCCGCAGGAAGCAACGACATGTCACCGAGTATATCGGTGCAACCTTCACCGCGATCCATGAAGGTTGAAAAGCCATAATGGAAGTCTTCAATGTGTTCGCTCAACGTGCTCACCCATTGCAAATATACGTCAGGGTTGGCTGGTATATCGCTGTATGAAGATTCCCGCCATCCTTGGTGAACCCACAACCTCACAGGTATACCAAGACATGGGTGATCATTAACTGCCACAGCAGTCCCTAGCACGAATACCAGTACCCGCAGGGTCATTGCGTGCACCACACATTTTACTAATGAGAGACACCGCTTTTCTCCTAGTCACCCCAAACCTGAGATTATGGCAAAGCTCCGCTGTATCCTCAACCCCAACGGCCGGAGATCCGCCGCCCAGCTGTCGGTATGCAACAGCGCCAGCCAACAATAGCGCTAGGGCGCTAGCGGAGGCGCTGCCGACCACCACTGCTGTATGGTTCCCGGGAGGGGACACTGAGTCCCGGGAGGGGACTCACTGTCTGTCGTGGCATTGGTATCTCTCGTGACTTGGGTTGTGGTTGCTGTTCGCTTGGTAGTGGTTTTCGACTCCGTGAGAGTGGGGATGGTCGACTCCGAAGAGGTGCCGGTCGTACCAGGCAGGTCCTGCGGTAGTCGTTGTCTTGAGTAGGCAGTTGAGGTGGTTGATCGCATTGGCAATCCAATACTTCGGCAACACCACCTTGTGACCCACAGCCTCACAGGCACTCCCAGACACTCATACCCAACCGCAAGAGTCAATATCGTCGCCACACGAACCAACCTCAAACTGGGGCGCAAACACATTCCCTGCAT